TTGGTTTTTAGAGACAAGGTCTTGTCATATAGTCCAGGCTGGCCACATACTTGTAGTGGTCCTCCTGCCTCAGCTTCCCAAATTCTGGGATTACAGGCATGTGCATCATGCCTGGTTTATAATTTCATCCTTAGAATAATTCTTATAATTATTATCTGTATTCACAGATGAAGATATTTCAATAAAGAGAGTGTAAATGGCTTGTCTAAGGTCAAAGAGTCAGAATTTCAACTCAGGTTATCTGACTGTAGGGCCTGAAGTGAGAATTAAATTTCTCTAAATTCTCATGTCTGTTGTATTATCTTGTATCTTTGGTAAAGAGGCTGATAAAATCCTATTTTAAAAAATTGGGTTGCTCATATTCTCAATATTGAGTATGTACTGAGTAGTTAAAATAATAATACCAATGGTTGAATACCAAAAAGAAAATGGAAGGAAGTAGCAGAGTGGCATCTTGAGAAAAGCTAGGTATGGTGGCACTTGATTGTAATCCCAGCTATGGGGGGAGGCCAAGACAGGAGGATTACAAGTTTGAGGCCAGCTGAGTGACTCAGCAATTATGGAGGCCTTGTCTCAAGGAGGGAAACGCTGAGAGTGCAGCTCAGGGTGAAGACCCTGAATTCAATTCCTAGTACCAAAAAAAAGTGAAATGTAGACATTTTGGACAAGCAAAAATTTCACTGCCAAATAATCACTCTGAAGGAAATGTTAAAGATTTTCCTTCAGACAGAAGGAAAATTGAGCCAGAGAGAAACTTGGGGATGCACAAAGAAATGAAAAGAACAGAAAAAGTGAATATGTAGATATATCTAAATGAGTATTAACTATATAAATAGTAATGTAAAGACTGTCTTGTGGGGACATATATCATACATATATGTACATGTAGTCACTATTATCCCTTGTGGAAATAACAGCAGTGTATGTTAGGTAATATATAGTACATACAGTCACTATGCAGGAGTCACCCACACCTGCATTCTCCATGCTGGCCACGTATCATCTGTTTTCTACCTGACAGGGAAGGAATCCATCGGTCCAAGGAGACTCACCCTTACCTGGTCTTCTGCTGTATTCTATCATTCTTCTGCGATGAACTGTGAGCTCATAAGTGTGTTAATTTGGGGCCCTATGAATCTCCTCTAGTAATCAAACCCTGTTTAAATGCCCCTGTTACTGCAATAATATTACTTGTAATAACTTCAACTGAAAATATCCCAAATGTTTGTCAACAACAGAAAGGATAGGTAAATCAAGTTATATTCATGCAGTTGAATACCACATAGCAATGAAAATAAATGTTACACACACAAAACATGGATCTTACAGATGTGTTAAGACTGATATGAAATAATTTATACTGTATGATTACATTTCTATAAAGTAGTATAAAACCAGGCAAAACTGACCTATAGCAGTTATTGGCTACCCTTGGAGAAAAGGGATGGAATCATGATTTGGGAGAGGGTAAGAGAAGGGCATCCTGGGAATGTTCTTTCTCATCACTTGGGCAGTGATTTCTTGGGGGTGGTGTTCAGTTTGTTACAATTCATCATGCCTATGATTTTCTGTGGAATACTGTATTAGTCATGTTTCCACTGCTGGGAAAAAGTAAGAGTGCCCACAAATTACAGGAGTGGTTTATCTGGCTAACAGTTTCAGAGGGTTCAGACCATGGTCTGCAGGAACAACATGATGGAAAGGTATGGTGGAGGAAAGCTGCTCAGCCCATAGCAGCCAGGAAGCACAGACAGGAGACAGGAGCCTGGACAAGAATGTACTCTTCCAGATCATGTCCCCAGTGACCCATGTCTACCCAAGTCCCATCTCCTAAAAGCACATTCAGTATGAACTCATCAGTAGACTAACCCACTGATGAGTAGAGCATCCCCGTGATCCATCACCTTCCAAAAACACCCCCCACAACACTTGAGACTTCTGTGGCACATTTTAGATTTAAACCAGAACATTCTACCACTGGTCCCAAGAAGGCCTGTGTCCATCTCGTTAAGCAAAATGCTATCAGGCCACCTTCAGAAGTTGCCAGAGTCTCAACAGTTCTAGCACTGTCAGAGGTCCAAGTCCAAGGTATTTGAGACTCCAGGCAAATGCAGCTGTGAACCCTTGTAAAAATTTTAAAACAAAGTTAAAATACTTCTGACATGCAATGGCACAAGGTAAACACTCCCATTGAAGAAGGGAGGAATACACAGATAGGAAGGAATTGGGTGAAAGCAAGACCAAACTTCAGCAAAGCTAACATCAAATCCTGCACCTCCATAGCTGGGCATGGTGGCACATAGCTGTGATCCCAGAATTCTGAGAGGAAGGAGGACTGCAGGCCTATCCTGGGACACTCAGATACTTAGTGAGATACTGTCTCAAAATCAAAACAAAACAAAACAATACACAAAAAAAGGCTGGAGATGTAGCTCGGTGTAAAGGCCCTGGGTTCTATTACCAATACCACAAAAACAAACAACCCAAAAACCCAAACACAAAACAAAATGCACAGACACAGCAAAAGAAACTGATGAAATACACAGGGTGAGTCTTAGTAACTGTTGAAGTTAGATGGTGGGTATCTGCAGGTTCATTATACACTTGTCTTTATTTTTGTCAGTGTTTGAGTATTTTTATAATAAAAACAGCAAGAAAAGACATGACTGGGTGCTTGTAGTGCTGAGTTCTAGCTACATTTCAAAGAATAAGCATTTCTGATTTAAATACTTGTGGCCTTACAAAGATGAAAACTTCTCCCATTCTATGAAGCTAGCATACCTTAAACACTTTTGGAAACCTTTTTGCAGAGCAGCAGCATGCATGAAGACAAGCCTAGTTCCAAGCGCAGCGCTGGGGGAAGTTCGCGCAGGAACACAGCTGTGCGCGCAAATACCCAGCGCCTGGTGAGCACCCGCACCCTCCGTGCACACTTCAGACAGTGTCTTTTGCTGAAGCAAGCATAACTGCCGTCGTGGGGCAGGGACCAACTCCTCCTGCGGACCGAGCGGCTCCCGGGTCCCTGCGGCGGTAGACGGGACGCGCGGGCGGGGAGACGGTGGACGCGCGGGCGGGGAGACGGCGGCCCCGCGGGTGGGGTCGGGGAGCCGGTCCCCGAGGCCGAGGGAGCTGGAGCAGAGGACTCCATCGGGCCTTCCTGAGGCGGCCCTCGATGGACCCTTCGCTGACCGCGGCGGAGGTCGCAGGGAGCGGAGCTGTCGGAGGTCCGTGCGCGGCCCTCGGGACCCCTAGGACTTCTCCAGGTGACACTGCTGAGGCTGCGCCAACCCCAGCCAGAAGTGCGGGTGCTCCCCGGGGGCTGCGCTGCACAGCAGCCAGGTGTCGAACCGAGTGGCAGGGGCACTGGCTCCCCATCCCGTCCCACCCCTCCTCTCCCCCTCCCGGTCCCACGCCCTTCCCTTCCTCATCCGCTCCGGTACTCTCCCGTCCCTGCAGCCGCAACTGCTCCGCACAGGGTGCGGCCGGGCTCCAGGGTGGCCGCAACCCTTCAACGGGTCTGGTCGGTCTGGGCGACACGGCAGACCCTAGCTCCAAGGAACCTAGGGAGCTAGGTCCTTCGCAAATGGAAAAGGGTCCAAGAGATGGAGGGAGGGAGGGAGGGGAGGAGAAAGGGACAGGAAAAGCAGGAAGAGGTTGTGTGCATGCATGGACCAGCTCCCACGATGAATACAGCCCTCACGTGCTGCAATGAGGTACTCATAATAAATGAAAAATACAGGGGGCTGGAGATTTAGCTCAGCGGCACCGCGCCTGCCTGGCAAGCGCGAGGTGGTGAGTTCGATTCCCGGTACCAGGAAAAAAAAAAAAAATACAAATCCTAGATCCGACAGCAAGGTCTGTTCGGTATAGATATTGATATTCAGGTCTCATTTAGGGTTGATTTCCTAATAAAATTACTTTGAAAGTCTTGCTTTTAGCTAATGTCTTGGCTGGTTAATGCAAGCCCCCAAAACTTGTTTGGCGCTCTTGTGTTTAAAAGACGAAGCTTTAAGTGAAAGTTAGAAGGTGGTGTTTAAGAAAATGCTTAGCTCAGCATTTTTCAGTTTAGCCACAGACAAAGCACCTGGCTCAATGAGAGTCGCATGTATGCTGTTTAAATTTTGGGGCCAGCGACGCTACCAATACATATAAATGACCTGATGAAAATGAGAGGCCTATTTAAAAGACAGTATCAGATTAGCTCTTTCTGAAATGATAATTGTGCAGTTAAAATAATAAAAGATACCTATCTACTAAAAGTTTAGAAAAAGCCCCCTGTCATGGCTTAGATCTAGATGTTCCCCCCAAAGCCTCACGTGGTCATAGTAGGGAGTTTCAGAGGTGGCTGGATTAGGGCATGTAGATGGGGATTATGGGTATGATACTGGGATTAAGGAGGTGGACTGTGGAAGCTCCCCCCTGGGTAGGGGTGGCACCAATCTATAGCTTTACAGCCTGCATGGATATAAAGAGACAGAAGGCAGGCTTGCTGCTGCTGCTGCCTGCTGCTTCCTGCCTGCCACCTTGGACTATGGACTTTGTTTCTCAGGACCCTGGTCGTTTTCACCGGCTTTTGCCCCTGATGTGCACTCCCCTTCCTGCACCTCCCCCCAAATCTGTGAAAACCTAGTAAACAGGGGTGATCGGGAAAACTTGTGGCCTGTACTCTCCGAGAATTCTGACCTTCCTGAATTCCCCAAAACCATACTTGTCTCTTTTTAATGTAGGCCTTTGCTGTAACTTGTTTTAGGAAATTGGGGGCTAGGCCAAGTCCCCGATACTTATATACTATATTTTTTAATGCATTTATTTTATCAGCTCTATTTAGAGAGTTTCGCTGGTTAGAAAACTCTGGGTGACTGTTTTCCCTCAGCATTTTGTGCTGACACCATCACCTTCTGACATCTGTTGCTAATGCAAGTTCCCTTGTTAGTTTGTTGTTTCTTTGCCTGTAGCCTGTCTCCATTAGATTATACTTTCCTTTAATGCTTAATGCTCTATAGTTTTTCCATAGAGTTTCCAGGCATAGATTTATTTTTCATTTCTTGCTTATCAGTGAGATTTTTCAATTCAAGTCTTGCTTCTTCATTTCCAAAGAGTTAGTCATTTACTTTAATTCATATACAACAGGTATGTTCAGATTTAATACAGTTAAACAGCACCTCTTTTCTAGTGTCCCTTTTTCTAGTACAACTCCCATTTGATGTGAACTTCTCATTGCATCTTCCATTACCATAGCCTCCTGTGCTATGATTTGGAAGCTTTTCATTGCTCTCTTCCAAATCATCAGTCCCTTCCTTTCAGATGTGTCTATTATAATAGTCAGATACTTTACTGAGGGTTATTATTATTGTAATGCCTTTCTTTTCACTTCTGAGATTTTCAATTTGTTCCTTTTTCACATCTTTCAGTCCTTGCTTCATGAATGCTACTTCCTTAATGCCTTAAGCAGTTAACATTAAAATTCTCGGACCGACCTCTACATCCATAGGTGTCAATTCTTCCATCTGCTAAATTTATCAGCTGCTTTTATGGTGATGGGCTTCCTTATGTGCTTATATTTTTGTAGGGAGGAGGGCTGCTGTGGATGGATCTTAGGGCCTTGTGCAGGCCAAGTAAAAGAGCTATTCTTGCTTGGGAGCTCTCCCTGTGCAGCCTTTATTTTCATAGGATCAACATCTACCTCAGCCTCAGCCCAAATGGGCTACATGGGTCAAAACCAAATGTTATACTAGCCGATTAGCCTGAGTGTTTTAATCTATATTGACAGCTTTTTTATTTTGTGGCTTTACCTGAATATTGTTCAGATGTTACATTGGGTGCCTCTTCTTCACTTTTTCGGTGCTCTCAATAGCAAAAATCCACATCCAAGATATTTTCAGTAAACTAAATATTCCATTTAAGATCACAAGTTCCTTCCTTCCGGTATTCAATCTCAGGATAAATGACCGAAGACTTACGTACTAGAGGGGGGGAAACAGCACGAGGCATGTTCCAGCTCTCTACAAATCTCTTCTCACTGTTGTATTTTATCTCCATGATTGAAACCACAGTCATGTGCTTCCACTTTGCAAGCCCCTTAAAATATCTCCATTCCAGGTCTCTTAGATCCATGAATTGCTTTTCTGAAAAGAATCATATTTTCAGAGACTCAGTGACGATGTTATTCAACCTTCAGTTACCCAGAGAATAAGCCTTCAGTGAGCTTGAGTCTCCTTACCCTCTGGCACAAAGGTGTTTTTAACTCTCATAAACTAAGTGGGAGCCTGTAGTGTTCACCTCCTCTGAAGGCTGCCCCCCAGTGGGAAAAGGGCGAGTCCAGCTGACTGGAATGGAGGGGAACCCACAGGAGCTTGGCAGGCAGCAGACAGGTCTCTTTGGTGCACGGACACTAGCAGGAGGTGTAAATGGGGAGACCTGCAGGGCTGAGACGATGAGGGAGAAAAGGACCCTCAGGAAACAAGGAGAAGACTGAGTACGGAGAAGAAGTATGGAGCTTAGCTGGTACCAGCAGTCAGCATCCCGTTAGTAAGAGCGTTCATTAGTGTCATTTCTTCCATGATGCTGATGTGGGTCTGGGTATAAAAAGGCCAGTACCTTGTTAGAATTTGGCTGTTATCTCTACTCTTCCAGGATCTACCAGCTTGAAGTCTTACGAGTCAATGCAGTCTTTCCAAGGTGCCAAGAAGGCAAGGAAACCCCCACTAAGACACACTGCATATCTCTTACTCAGCAGTCATTTCATGTCATTTCATCTCTTACTCAGCAGTCATTTCCCCTTCAGCTCCTTTCATGGTGAAATACACTGTAAGCTAAAAAGCAAAATGAGGACAAAACCAGCAAGGGTGGAGGCAAAGGCTTGATTATAAAACTGGGGGCCAAAGAGCCAGGCAGCTGAGTATGAGGAGCCTGAGAAGATGATAGGTATGGCAGCCAACCCTGTTTCTTGAAAGTGACTTTTGAGCAGGTGTCCTTGGCCCAAGGATTAAGCAGACCCTGCTCCCACCTACAGCAGTTGTGGGCTTCTGCACCAGCAATGGCCTCACCTACCCGTCTGCCTGGGCAGCCTTTGTGTATGTTCTGTACATGCAGATGACAGGTTGCAGGAGCTCCTCCTGGGGCTCACTGCAGCTGCCATGCTGTCCAACTATCTGTCCCTAGGCCAAGCCACCAGCTTTCAGGGAGCCAGCAAGATCTTCACCGACCTGGCATAGCAAGAAGTGGCAGGAGGGGCCAGGGAAGGGCTATGTGGCAAGACAATGCCCTGGAGTTGGCGACTGATTACTAAATGCTATATGTCATAGTCTCTGGGAGATAGGACATGCCAGCTTCTTCCACAGCCACCCTCTTCTGCCTCCCTGTACTTTCAGGGTGGAGCTAAGCAGCCTTCGTAAGCCTTCTTTGTAGGAAAGGGTGACTGCTGGGTAGAGTTCTGGCCAAAAAGCTGGAGGGAAGACCTCCAAGGAGGAATGTTTTGGGGAAAATTGACTCTTTATTATTAAAAGAGGACAGAGGGGTAGAGCACTTGGCTAGCAGGTGGGAGGCCCTGGACTCAGTCCCCAACCCCCAGCACCACTCATACCAAAAAAGGACAGAAATGCAAATGCGGCCCTTCATCCCCGCCCACCGCTTCCTGCCTAGAATATGGTCACAGCACAGAGGTGAAGGAGATGTCTTTTGGGCATAAAGACAAAAGCCACATATGAAATGACGGCAGAGCCATCACTGGAAACATCCAAAGACAGGGCTCCAGCCTTCTGCCTCTGGGCTTCTAGTTACATAAGAAAAATAATCCCCATTTGGCTTCTGTGTTATTTTTGTTCAAATTTCTAACCTCCCCTATTCCACAGGACTTGGCCTGAGCAAGACCGGCACACACAGAGAACAGCAAGCTGAGGGCGTCCTCCACTGCAGCCTGTGCCAGTAGAACCAATGCTGTCGTAATCCGTGGCCCACCAGGAGCCACGGAGTTCTTTGGAATGGAGTAGAAAAGTGGAAGGTGACTTGTGGCAATAGCAACTGGACCTAAGGAATTTCTGTCAGCCCCTCTTAGGACACCCACCTGGCTTCCTGCCTGGCCCTTGAACAGATAGGATGTCCTCTACAGGGTCTCAGGAAATGGAGTAATGGGAGCAAAGGACTACTCAGCCCTGACGGTGATGGAAGTCACATATCCAGAGCCCTTCGTCAGTGGACCTGGCTGTTTCCTCCCACGTGTCAGGCCTCTCATGTGCCACTCTCTCTTCTAAGAGGTGACTCTACTTTTGGGGGTGGCCTAGAGCTAGAGCGTTACAGTCATCTCTGCTGTAGGATGGCACTCTCAGACTAAGACCCGAGTCAGGCTCCTTCGGATGCCAGGGTAGCAAGTTACAGCAGAGGCTCTTTTAGTTGTTTGGACCAAGTAAGCTCAGTAGCTCATTTCCCTGTACTAGTGTGTATCAAATGTGTTCCCTCTGTCCTTCCCACTGCTTTAAATAAAGCAGTGGTGGTGTCTGAATATTCACTGTGCAAATGGTCTTATCTAGAACCTACTTACCTTATCAAAAACCTACTTCAGAGGGTCTCAAATATTGATATAATCTTTTTTTCTTTTCTTTTGGTGGTGCAGAGGATCAAACCTAGGGCTTCATGCACTCTAGGCTAGCTCTACCACTGGGCCACACCTTCAGGCCAATTTAATCTATTTTACGTATTTTTTTTTTTTTTTTGAGACAGAGTTTCTCTATGAAGTTCATGCTAGACTTGAGCTCACTTTGTGGCCCAGGCTGGCCTCGAACTCACAATGGTCCTTCTGCATCAGCCTCCCCAAGTGCGGGGATTACAGACGTGCACCACCATGTGCAATTTAATCTATTTTAATAGCTATACAAAATGATAAATTAGCTGGGCGTGGTGGCACATGCCTGTAATCCCAGCACTCGGGAGGCTGAGGCAGGAGGATTGTTTCGAGTTCGAGACCAGCCTGGGCTACAAAGTGAGTCCAAGGCCAGTCTGAACTGCACAGCAAGACCCTGTGTCAAAAAGACAAAACAAAAACAAAAACAAAAAAGCCCAAAATGATAAATTATTACATGTAGTTTTTTGGGGGTGCTAAGGATCAAACTTGGGGCTTTGTGCCTGCTAGGAGGGAGTTCTCCACTGCGCTACGTCCCTAGCTCTCCTCGTATGATAACTTAAGGAAAGTGGAGACCTGAAGTATAACACACTTCTTGTTCATTCAGACTAAACATCCTACATTTTATACATTTTTAATGTTGTCTGTGTGGTCCTTGGCTTTTTATGGGTTGTATAAAAAAGAGTCCCCAAAGACTCCTCTGTTCAGAGGTGGGGCTCTGGAAGGGCGATTAGATCATGGAGTGCCAACCATCACTGATGAGCCGTCAGCTGAAGGTGCTGTTAGAGAGTGGGTCTGCTTACAGGAAGAGGTAACTGGGGGCATAACCTGGAAGGAATGTCTCGTCCTCCCTCTGCTTCCAGGTTGTCCTGAGGTGAGCAGCTTTCCTCTCCCATGATGCACTGCCTTACCTTAGCCCCAGAATAGCTGACTATGGACTGAAACCTTTGACTCCGTGAACCAAAATACATCTTTCCTCTTGTAAGCTATCTCAGATACCTTGTCGCAGAAATGCAAAGCTAACGCTGTCTATTAAAAAGTCAGATACGTTGTTTATGGCCTCTGTTGAAAGTCTTGACAGAGATGTAAAGACCCATGAAAAATACTGCCGCAGAAACCCCGAAGTGGCAGCACAGCTAAGATAGTTTAAAAACAGCACTTCACTGACTTCCTGTAACAAGAATAGTCACAGTCTGCTGTGGCACAGTTTGTAAGGGAGCACTGACACGGTCTGCCTGAAGAACACAATTTTTAGGGTCCAGCTGGGACTTGGCTCTGGTTTTGTTTTGCTTTGTTTTTGTTTGTTTGTTTGTGGTACCGGAGTTGCACTCAGGGCACTCAGGTGCTTGTCAGGCAGGTGCTATGCTACTGAGCTACATCCCCAGCCCTGCTTTGGGGTTCTTGATTCCCTAGTTTGCAGTTCATTGCCCCTGGAGGCAGGGAAAGCTGCAGCCAGGAACCTGGGAACACGCAGTTCTGCAGTGAGATTCCCACCCATCCCCTCCCGCAGGGCCTCCTCTGTGCAGGTTACCTGGGTCCACAAAGAAGTATCTGGGAACTGTGTCTTCGAAGAACAGCTTCAGTAGGCGTGGACTGTCTAACACCTGGGGGATCTGAGTCTTCTCAGTGGTAATCTGTGCCAGAGCTTCCAAGCCTTCCTGGATAACGCTGTAAGGAAAAGAGTGCGCGGGAGGAGAGATCCCTTCCTCAATCAGTCTCTTCTGGGACCTGGGGAGCCCTGCCCCTGGGGAGAGCATGCCCTCTAGCAAGCTGCGGTACAGGCGCACAGCCATGGGCGGCGGCTTCTCGAGTTCCCTTTTAACCACGCTGCACGGCAACACTGGCTGCGGATCTTCTCTTCTCAGGCCGGTTCTGCTGATGAACGCCATGGTGCTTAGGCTTTTAGCAAGTAGTTTCTGTCCTTCTGTAGGTGAAATGCTACGAGTTTTTAGGAGACTTGATTTTTTACTGTCCTTATTAAAATTTTCAACCAATGCATATAATTCTGGCAGCTGTGGGAGAAAAAAATGCAGGGGAGTCATGAGATGAATGCAAATATAATCTGACAGACCCAGGGCTCCAGAAAAATAGGAGAACAAATAGCCAAGAAAATGAAGCACTTATTATTGGAAGATATTTTTGCCTAACTAAACCATGTCAATAGTGGCAATATGGAATAGCTGACAGAAGGCTAAATCTGAGATTCATTCCCCAAGAGATGAATTATTTAGACACACTTTTAACCTCTCCATTAGAAAATAATCCAGTTATATTTGGATTTGAGAGTCTTTGAGATCTTTCCCACTCTAAAATTCTATGAGTGAGTCTGGCCAGAGATAGCCGCAGGGAGCCGGGCAGGGGGAGTGTGCTCTCAGCTTGCTTTGAATCCTGACACATTTCTTCTAAGGATGGAAGGGTAGCTGGCCATCCAGATAGCAAAGCTGTCATGGTTTGTGTCTGGATGTCCCCTCAAAGCCTCATGCAGTTATGGGGTGGGCTTCATAAGATTGGTCCATGGTCAGTGCTGGGATTATGGGTGTGAGAGCTACACCTGCCCTTGGGTTGGTAGTTTGCATACAGTAAAAGGGAGGGAAAGAGGCTGCTTGCTGCTCCTCCCTTTTGCTCTTGTTGCTTTTGCTGTTTTTCTGCCACGTGACCTGTTTCCCTGTGCCATGTGCCACTCTGCCTTGGAGCCAGCTGAGTATGGACTGAAACCTCCGGAACTGTGGGCTAAATAAACCCTTCCTTCCTTAATTTTGGGTGTTGGGTATTTTGTCTCAGCAGTGAGAGAAAAGTGACCAAGACAGCTTCCTCCTCGTTTCAGGAGCTCAGAATGTTCAGCAGTGGAGGGTAAAGAATGCTGGCACAGTTGTGATTTGCGGGAATATTTTACCAAAACAAATGGTTACACCCATGGAGTAGCTGAGAATAGTTATTGGCAAACAATTTTTTTAAGTTGTTATTTCTCAGAACACCCTTCTCCACCTAAAATCCTATGTGAAGAACAGAGTCTTCTCTTTCTCAGAGCATCCTGCCCACCTAGCCCACCCTCCCAAGTGGCTTCTTGGGCTGTTCAGTTGGCAGCCAAAGGGGCCACACTCCAGGCTGGGTCAGCGGGCTGGGGATGTGGGTCGGCAGTGGTGCCTTTGCCCAGCACCCCCAAGACCTGGGCCTGATCTCCAGCACTGCAAAAAATAAAGTGGGGGTAACTGGGTCACTTGACTAAATGCAGCACTTCCTTTTAATTCCAGCCAGTTCTATTGCAAGAGCGGTAGATAGAAAATAAACTAAAATTAGCAAATGAGTCTTTAAAACTGGCTACCATCATCAGGGAACCAGCAGCACACATGCTCTATCGCCCTGGAAAAGCTTCTTCCTTTTGTTTGGACAAAAAAGTCACTGAGAGAAATTGTGGTGTCCCCTTGGCTAGCTGATATATCACTGCATATTTGGTATTTGAAATTTTCTTATTTTTTAATGTAGAGTTTCCCCACACAATACCATAGAGCTGAAGTACACACCGAACACCATGGGGAAGACTTTGTCTTTAGCTGGGTTGGCACCTGACTGTCTTTACCCGGACTGGCGCTTCTCAAGCGGGACATTGTGCTGGGATTTTATTTTCTATCTCCTAAAAAAGATAAAAATCAAAGATCAGATAAAATACAATGAGCAGTGTAATGCTTTTAAAATCTTCTGAACTTTGAAAAATTTATACAATTTTAATTATTTTGTCTTCTTCTTAGTCCAGGCTTGCCAAATTAATCACATTTCAACCAGACTTTTTCTCTGAAACAGACAAGCTCCTATTTGATGTGTATGGCCAGGTTTAATACTGGCTCAAAGAATCCTGTATGTCTTGCTTTATTTATGTATATTTGTCTTACATATTTGGATCAACTCTTAGTTCATCTAAATAAAAAAAAATTACTTACCTCCTTACCCCCCAAAATAACTTACCTCCTTACCCAAAAACTGTTTTTCAGTCAGAAGAAAAAGATAATGTTAAGAAGAACAATGAACATTTTGAAAGTTTGGTTATGTCACATATATTGGGAGGCATTTTCTAGCTGGAGTTTAATTTAAACTCTTTGTTTAAACTCATGTCATCAATAAGTGGCAGTGAAGTCCACCCCCACTTTTGTCTCTGGCTTTATGTTCGGCTTTGACCAAAAGCAGGTAACATTGTCCTAAGAGTGCCACTGTGTGAATGCCAGGGTCTAGGGCTTACGAAGCTCCACAGCTGCATCTGACATTCTCGGAAGCCTGGAGGTGCCATGGAAAGGGAGCAGCGGCCTCCTAGGGAGACCAGGTGGGCCCAGCAACCAGTGCCACTCACTGGGCTCAAAGTGAGACCACCTGTTCACTCAGCCTGGGCTGTACCTCCAAGAGCCACAACAGTACAAGCAACTGCAGTCGGTCCCCGTGGAGAAGAACCACCACCCTCTGAGCTGGCCAACTCTAAAATGATGACAATGAGCTGCAGTTGCTGCAAGCCACTAGCTTTGGGGTGGGCTGTTTTATAGTGATGCCTATGATCAACTCCACAGCACTGGACATTCTCGGTCTAATCTACCCCAGCGAGTCCTCTTGCAGGATGTGAGTAAACGGGAAGCTGTGTTCCCTGACCAGTAGCTGCAGTCACAGGATGAAGTCTGATCTGAACCAAGGGTGTGTTTGATGAAACAGTTTTGTTCTTTCCCCTTCCCAGGCAAGGCAGAAAACGCTACATATATTTTCAGGGTGGTTTCACTCAACGTGCACTGCTTTGCCCCATTGTAAAGGAGAACTATCATTATGCAGAGACCATTTATGTACACACAGCTAGATCTCTTGACATCTTGCTGCTACTTCTGAGACCTCTATATCAACATATAGGACAGGAAAGCAACGCCACGCCACATGCTCAGCCTCTTTCTGAATTTCAAGCAGTGGTCTCACAGACCCCTCTGCTCCTGACAATTTAAGACTGGACTGTCTTCCTTCTATGGCTCCTGCAAAGGAAAATAACTTGCTCTAACTTGCTTCAATGAAAACCTCTCAGTGTCTTGGAGTCATCCAGGACACTGTCTTTCAGTACTGTTGCCCACCATGTGAAGGTGCCTTCTTCCATTGCAACACAAGTTCCAAGACAATGTGTGTTCCCTTCTTTTCCCCTCAGAAGAGAGAAAATGAACTTTTGAAATCAGTGATCCTCCCAAGAACTTGATTTCTGACGTTGCAGCTCTATATAGATACAGTTGAAGGTTAAAAAACAGAAGCTCATTTTATTACAGTGGGATGGAGGAGGGGAGCCCTCACTGTATCCCCTTCTCACTCAGGCATCAGGATTCTGAACGCTGACGTGATCATTGGTCAGAGTTGCTTTTATTTGCTCCTGTTAGTCATGACTTCACTAACCTCAGGACCTTGGCTTGACCAACATCCGACAGTCAACATCAAAGCCAGATCAGCCTGTTCCAGCCTCTCCTGACAAGTGTCCCGGGAGAGGTCACGGAAACACAGCCATCTGTGCCCAAGAGCGAGTGGCACAACCTGTCTGGGGCTCTGGCAGGGGCTCTTCAGCACTCTGCTGTTCGTCATTTGTTGCCGCCAGAAATTCCCACTTTTGCTTTCCGACTGTCACGAGAAGAGCAAGGGCGCGTCACAGGGACACCTGCGGCGGGGCTCACCCAGTCCTTCAAGTTCTTCTTTAGCTCTTCCTGCTCTTTTCACACGCTCGTTGCCTAATCTTCAGTCTCTGTGCTGCTGAAGCAACAGAAGTCACCTTATCTCAGTATGACGTTTAGCTTCCATGCCAGCTGATGAACTAAACTTGGAATTTGAAGGGGATAATGACTTCTTAGCCGTTAGTTTAAAGGTAGTTTTTACTGTATTCATTTTCCTCCACCTCAGCTATTAAGTGCTTCCTCATTTTGAAACAATTTTTAAAAATAACTTCCTATTGTTTCTAAACTCATTGTTGCAATGACTCTAATAACAAGCCTGACTGTTTTCGGCTTTGGACTGCTATATTCCAGTTTCTTTGCTTGTGTTATTACAGTTTTTTGTACTCTATCACAGATCTCCTCTTTAGCCACTCACCAGCTTATCTTTCAAACTTGGCTACTTATTATTTCAAGGACATGATACAAATCTTTTAACTAGACTTCTAAAGACTACTCACAGTCTACTTCTAATACTACATCATCATTTAAAAATCACATTTCAAGCCAGGTGTGTAGTGTATGCCTGTAATCCCAGCTACTTGGGAAGCCAAGGTGGGAGGATCATTTGAACCCAAGAGTTTAAAACATAGGAAGACCCTGTCTCAGAACAAATGAAAATAGCAAACAACAAAAGATATTAAAATTAAAATAAACTTTAAAAACAAGTCTCAACGTTACCACAGTGTTGTGTTATTTCCACTTCAGCAGCTGAGTCGACTCATTTTCCAGAGCGAGCTTCGGTGTTTCTGTGCATTCTTCCTTTGAGCTGGAACACAGGGAGTCCTCTTTTAACCAGCCAGAATGTCCTCCTCTCTTCTATGCTAACCTAAAAAAAAACATAACAGAAATGAACATGAAATTGAAAGAAGCACAGTGTTAAGCAGCTTTTTGTCACAATAGGAAGTGCAAGTGAAGAAAAAGTTTTAAATTATTTAGAGAGAATCCACTTATGGCCAACTGGTTTTCTAACAAGGTAGCAAGACAATTCAATGGCATAAAATAAAAAGTGCCAGAAAATTGGATAGAGACATATGAAAGAGTGAGACTGGACTTCTACCTCGATCCGTCTGAAAAGATTAATTTAAAATGAATTATAAGCTAAACATAAGATCTAAAACCACAGAGCTCCTACAATAAGACACAAGAGTAAATCGCTGTGCCCTTGGGTTAAGCAATGATTTATTGACTATAACTCCAAAGCAAAAGAACAGAGAAAGAAAGATAAACTGGACCTCAGCAAAATTAAAAACTTTTGTGCTATAGTGGGAAAAAACCCCACAGAAGGGAGTGCATGTTTACAAATCATATATCTGACAAGGTATTTATATCCCAGAGTTTATAAGAACTACTTACAAATCAACAATAAAAAGACAACCCAATTAAAATATGAGCAAAGGGGGGCTTTGGCCTGGTTTCGGGTCTGGCACACAAGCTCTGAGGTCGCCACTCTGTCCGAACAGTAGTAAAAAGCTGAACAGCAACAGTCCCCACATCTGGGGGTGAAGTGAGGTCACAAGGTGAGCTGCTGCTCCTAAAACTGGGAGAACAGGTGGGCACATGGTCACAGGTAGTTGGGGTGGAAGCCTGCCTGAAAACCACAGCAGAACCACCTTGCATTCAATTTAAAATGACAAGGTCTGCAAAAGGGTGAGCGTGCACACACGCATGCATGCACACACATGTAGGCGCACATGTACACACACATGCGCACGCATGCACGTGCGCGCGCACACACACACACACACACACACACACACAGTCTGAAGACAGAGTAAAACCAGAAGTAGGCATAGACACATCAGGGGTGTTGAAATGATTGGACTATGATTTTAAAGTGGGTGTGGATCTAGGAGGGCAGCTCAGTGGTGGCATTCAGCTTGTGTGTGCAAGGCCCTGGGCTCTGTACCCCGCAGCACAGATAATAAAAGCAAAGCAATGAAACATCTGCAATTAACCCTCTAAGGGCTCTGACGCTAACACAGCACACACACAGGAACAGACGAGGAATGTGAGCAGAGATTCTGATGAACGAATGCATGGGAAATGCTCCAAACACCGCTGTTACAGAAATGAAGAATGCTTTTGGTAGGCTCATTAGTAGACTGGACATGGAGGAGGAAAGACTCTCTGAGCTCCTGGACCTGAAAAGCAAAGAGAAAAAAACACTAAAAAAAATAGAACAGAATGTCCACAATATGCAGGTCGATTCTACAGGGGTAGCTTATGCGTCTGAGGGTTTCAGAAGAAGAGATGCAGGAACAGAAACAACACTTGAAGAATGACGGCTCAAGACTCCCCTGCTGACAATGCGTGCGTGCCAATTGAAGATGCTCAGAGAACACCAAGTAGGATAATGTAAAACACAAACCAAAACTATAGCCGGGTGCGGTGCACAACTATAGTCCCAGCACCTTGGAAGGCCGAGGCAGGAGCATCACAAGTTTGAGCCTAGCCTGGACAACTTAGTGACAAGTAAGACATGAAAAGGGCTGCTGTAGCTCAGTATATAGGCTGGGCTCAGTCCCCAGTGCTAAACAAACACCTGCATACAGGCACATATTCAAATTGCTAGAAAGCAGAGAAAAAAAGCTTAGAAGCAGCCGGTGGAAAAGACACCTTACCTGTAAGGAACAAAGATAAGAATCACGCCTAAGGTGTCCTTAGAAACCAGGCAAGCAAGATGGAAGAAGAGTGAGATATTTAGAATTGAGAAGAAAAAAAAACCCCATGATTTAGAATGCTGTGCTCTATGAAATTATACTTCAAAAATCAAGGAAAAAGAAGGACCTTCCCATGTAAGGGCACACTCACAGAACAGCAGACTTGTAGGCATAGTATAGCAAAAGTTAGAAATCAATTCATCGCCTGTGACCGTGCGCTCATGCCGCCTGTCACGTAGCTAGCTTGCTAAATTCGGTCAGCCTTGACTATTTGCTTCTCTTTGATAATGTGCTGAGCCAACCTGACTGTGCCCAGTTTGTTTTCCTTGGTTAGAAAAATATATCTTGTTTCCAGCTTGATTCAAGGCTTCATGCCGGGGACAGACTCGCACAGTCAAGGACCCATTTAACTCTACTTGAGCAGAACATTCCTAGAACGTTAAGCAATTCCTTTTAAGTAAACCTTCTTGACAACGTATGAGTTAATTCACGTAATCTATGTATCCAATCATGCACTAAGTTGCTGTCAGCTTTGTATTTCCCACTTACAAACTGTATTCAAGCTGAACTCAAACCTGACTCTGGGCTGCTGATTTGAACCTCTGGGTTCCCCAGCCCGCTAGCGTAATAAGAGTTGCCTTCTAACTCCTCGGTGCAAAGAGCCTTCCATTTTGTTTGATATTGGTTTTCTGCAACACTCAGACAAACACTGAGGGATCTGTTGTTACTAATCCTGTCTTGTAAGAAATACTAAAGGTCTTCAGAGAGAAGAAAAATTATATAAATCAGAAACTCAGACCTACATAAGGAGAGGAAAAGCATTTCAGAAGAAATAAATGAAGGCAAAATGAAATTATTTATACTTCTTATCATTAATTAACAGATAACAGTTTGTTCAAAATAGTAAAAATGTATTCAATGATTATAGTTCATGTATAAGTGAAATCAATGACAGCAATGATATAGGGATGAAAGAGAGGAGCTGGGAATATTTTGTTTTTATCAGATGCTTTTACTTGAAAGTGAACTTAGATTATTTGTAGATATGTATAGCAAATTCTAGCACAACCACTAAAAAATATAAAACAAGAAGTATAACTGCTAACCCAAGAACAGAGAAAAATGGAATCATATAAAATGCTCAGTTAAAACTGCAGAAGGTGAAAATGGATGTCAAAAAGAAGAAAAAAGAACAAGAGTAACAAATAGAAAACAGTAAAAAATATGGTAGATATTAATCCAACTCCATCAAGTTATGTTTAATGTCAGTGGTCTAAAGTCATCAATTATAGAGCCAGGGATACAGCTCAGCAGCAAAAGCACCTGCCTGGGAAGTGCAAGGCCCTGAGTTCAATTCCCAGTATAAAAAAGATCACCAGTTAAATGCAGAGACTGTCAGAATAAATAAAAAAAGACCAAATTATACATTGCCTACAAAAACACATTTTAAATATAAAGACACATGAATCAAGAATAAGGGATGGAGAGAGATATACTATGCTAACACTAATTAAGAAAAACCAGGAAAAGCGATGTTAACCTCAGACAGAGCAAGCAGAATTATAGGGATAAAGAGGGGCTTTCACTAATGACAAAGGGGTCAGTTTTCCAAGGAGACGTAAGATCGCTTTAATGTGTAAGTGCCTACAATGGAGTGTCGAAATATGTGGGGGAAAAACTGATAGAACTGTGAGAAGAAAAAGACAACTCCACTATTACATTTGTAGACTTTAACATCTCTCTATTGAAATGAACAGATCCAGTGGACAGAAAATCAGTAAGGACATAACGGAACTCAATGACACCATCAATCAACTGGACATAAATAACATCTATGGAGTGCTTCATCAAAAAATAGCATAATGTATATTCTTCTCCAGCCACATGGAACATTCACTCCAGACCACAAAACATACCTGAACAAATTTAAGGGAATAGAAATGATAGAATGTCTGTTCTCAAACCACAACACAATTAAGGTACACGTTAGTGACAGAAAAATAGCTGGAAAGTCCCAAAATAATTGGAGTACAAATTTTTTTTTTATAGAGAAGCTTATACATTCTTTTTCAAATCTGGAAGAATATATCCAAACAGTTTTGGGTTACAGTGGCAATCTCACTTTCTTCACATTTAAAAAATATTTTATGAATTATTGTAATGAAAAAGGTACTCCCAGTTGAGTGAGAGAGGTGGTGCAATACTGTAATACATGTTGGAAATGTCTGTGGAAATATATCTCTAAAAATGTTTGAAAAGTTTCATTTATAATAGAAAAATGAGAACAATATTCAATGATGAACTTGTAAGGGAACAAATTTGGGAAAATAATGAAATTTAATCCAGGCACACACCTGTCATCCCACCACTTGGGAGGCTGAGGCAGGAGGATTGCCACAAGTTCCAGGCCAGTTCCAGCTACATAGTGAGTTCAAGGCCATCAAGGCCAGCCTGAACTACATAGTGAGACCCTGTCTCAAAACCAAAAGCCAAACAAATTAAAAATCATGAAATCTGACAGATATTTTCAGTGACAGGAAAATTTTAAAATGCTATTTGTACTAAACAAAGATTCTAAGACCTCAGTCCTCCTGCCCCAGCCTCCCAGAGTGCTGGGGTTACAGGCATGTACCACCATGGACAGCTCTCTTTCTTTGGAGATATGATTTGTTTCCTCACGCAATATGAGATGAGAGAAACAAAACGAGACAAAAAACACTTTACAACTTCTGTAAGGTCAGTTATTGCTGCTGTCATTAACTCCTGTGGACCAAGCTTTCCCAGAAAGCCAACAGTCACGGGGACGCCTGTCACTGCCTGATCGCTCCTGAGTAGCTCCCTGAGGACAGGCTTCTTGGAGCTCACACAGCACAGGGCAGCGCCACCTCACAGCAAGTGCTGTCAGCGGCTATCATCAGCACAGCCTCACAGCATGGCGTTTCCTTCCACCAGGGAAGCCCTTCTTTCCTGCCCGGGGCTCCGGACTACCATCTTGCCACCAGACACTTCCTAGAATTTTGCCACAACAACTTCCTTTCTCTCCTTCCTTCCTGAATTTTGGCTGCACAGTGTAAAGGACAGCATTAATTCAGCACGTTCTGGATCTTCTTGGTATGTCAGATACTGGATTTGGTCTTAGGAATACAAAGTGATTCCACAAACAAGA